CGGCATGTCGGTGCACTACACCCTCAACCTGCGCGTCTTCTGGCCGCTGGTGACCGGCCTGTGCACCGCCCTCGTGTGCCTCTACCATGTCCTGCGGGGAAGCGCGGGCGCCCCGGCCCAGCCCCCCGACGGCGCGGACAGCGGCTTCCCGCTGCTCAAAGTGGCCATCCTGCTCCTGCTCGGCTACGTCCTCCTGCGCTGTCGCCACTTGGTGCGGCAGCGCTTCCTGCCCGGCTCTTCTCGCCTGGCGGGCCACTCGCCTTTCGCTCCTAGACACTTGCGAGAGCCCGGCCTGAGCATCCTGCTGGAGAGTTACTACGAGCACGAGGTGCGCCTGTCCCCGCATGTGCTGGGCCACAGCAAGGCGCACGTGAGCCGGATCGTGGGCGAGCTGGTGAGGGCTGGCCGTGCGCGGGGCTCCCCGGGTCCCATCCCTGGAGGAGCGCTGGCCTTGGCCTTCCGCGGAGACTTCATCCAGGTGGGCAGCTCCTACGAGCAGCATAAAATCCGCCGCCCCGACAGCTTCGACGTGCTGGTGCCCCTGCGCCTCCCTCCACCGGTGGCGCTGGAGCCGCGGAGCCTGGGCACGGAGCCCGCGCTAGCCCCTGCCTTCGGCAGCTGCTTCGTATGCGCCCTCAAGGCGCCGCCCTCGCTGTCGGGGACCTCCGGGGGCCAATGGCTTCGGGACTGCAAACCCTTCGCGGACGGCTTCTGCGTGGATGTGCGCGGGCGGCGCCATCTCTCTGCCGCGTTGGTGCTGCGTTGGTTCCAGTCGCACCTGCAGCGCTCCCTGGCTACCGTGCGCTACAGCTTGGAGGGGCGCTGTCGCGTCAGCCTGACCCCCGGCGGCCTGGAGCAGCCTCCCACCCTCCACATCCTGCCCTGCCGCACCGACTACGGTTGCTGCCGCCTTTCCATGGCTGTGCGTCTCATCCCCGCTGTCCATCTGGGCGACGGTGTCTTCCTTGTGGCACCGCCACCGCCACCTTCAGCCGTCGGGCCCCTGTTGGAGCTCCCAGGAGGCCTGCGCACTGAGGCACTATGGGGTGTGAACACAGCTCGTCAGGAGCAGAAGCTCCTGGGCTGGCTGCAGGAACGGGCCCCTCCAGGTGCCTGCTACCTCAAGTGCCTGCAGTTGCTTAAGGCTCTGCGAGACCTGGGTGCCCGCGGGCTGGACCCGGTGGCTGCCACCCAGTGGGGACGCATCCTGTCCTCATATGTGCTCAAGACGGTGCTGCTGACGGTGCTGCTGCGCGATGGGGTCCCCGCACACGGCTGGGAGGAGGCGCACCTGAGCGAGTGCTTGGAAGAGTTGGTGCAGTTCCTTCGGGGCTGTCTGCTGAGACGGCACACGCTCTTCCACTGTGTCCTGGGCCCCGGCGGGGCGGCCACCGAAGTGGGCCCGCTGCCCAAGGTACTGCGTGAAGCCGCCCCGGTTGACCTTCTGGCCGCCTTCGACCCACACGCCCGCGAACTTGCAGCGGCGAGGTTGCTGTCCACGTGGCGAAGGCTGCCACAGCTTCTCCAGGCCTACGGGGGTCCCCGCTACCTTGCCAGGTGCCCCCCAGCCAGGAGTCAGCGCACACAGGGGTTCCCTGAAGATGAACCCTGAACCTTGACAGCACTTGCACTTGACCAAATGCTCCTAAAACCTTTCCTTCTGGTGACTGTAGGGATGAAGCCAAAGGCAAGATGACTGTGTTGGACAATTTGGAGGATGCCACAGGCTTTGGTGGCTTAGATGTCACCCCTGGCCCCACAACCGAATATAGTTACTGCATCTTCTTAACATCGCAGGACGGTTCTGAACAAACTGGCATAATGCCCAGCTGCAGCTGTTGAGATTTGGCCACAAGGGTGATCTGTGTGGAATCTTGTAGAAAGATCTGTTCCCAGGGAAATCCAAAAGAGAAAGCAAAAACTAGCTTCAAAGCCAGTTCCCTCAGTCGGCTTCTAGACAGACCTCAGTGCACCCAGATTTTTTTAAATTAACAAATGTTTATGACAGACCTATTTGCTAGGAACTAGGTTCCCAAATGAATTTAAAAAAAAAAGAAAAGAAAAAGGAAGAAAACTCTCTGAATCTTTAGGGACAACTGAAGTTCTAGTGCAGAATTTAGTATTCTGTTTCTCTATTCAAATTAATATCAATGTATCTTATGGTGCAATCACAGGTGTTTGATAGGACGGTCAATGATTGAGTCTTCCATGTGGCAAGGCCGTCAAGAGTTGGTTAGAGGCATTTCCAGAGCAAGTAGCACTTTATGCTGATCACTTTTCTTGTTTTGTGGTGGGAGCACCAAGCCTTGCCTCTGAAAGGAAGGCCAGTTACTTTTATTATGAAAACCTGTGCAGCTTTGACAAGCAGCCACGAGTTGCTTCACATGCCCCCAGGCTACGAGCTGCACTGGGTACCAGTCAGTCAACACCAGTTTGTTGAGCTCCTACTGTGAGCCAGCACAAGGCAGAGCAGCAACAAAATACATAATTGACACTGGTGCAGGCATAAAACGTGTTGGATCTTGAGAAAGAGACTGTTGGGTCTTTTGCCTATAAAGATGGCTGGCCAGCCTTTGCTTCTGGCTGAACCCTTTTGGGTTATAAGGCTTTTGAAGCAAACTCCTCCTCAAGGGTGTCTTTCTGAGTAGCTAGAGGCTGAAAGTTTCTTCTTGCTTGCCCGGGGAAGCCCACATGGTCCCAAAGGGTCAGCTTTGAGATGGCTCTTGATTCAGCTTGGGTTTTGCAAAACAGTCACATACAGATCAGTACCTTGGGATCTGTCCTAGAGATCAGTGACTCCCAGTCCCAGGGCAGAGCCCGTAAAGAGCTGAGGAAATAAGTTAGAGGGAGAGCAGGAGAGACAGCAGCCGTCTGCTCTTTTTTCTCTTTGGGTGCAGATATCACAGGGTTGGGTGAATGGTGCAGCTAGGGATTTGAGAGCTGGGTTTGAGATTTTCCCTTTTTCTCCCAAATGCAGTTCAAGGTTAGAGTGGTCTAAGAAGCACCGATTGGAAATGCAGCCAGTCTCAGCCTTATAGTTGGGATTTAAAAAAAAAAAAAAAAAAGACATGTACTTCCTTAGATTCTTAAAGGCAAAAGTTTGCAAGACAGAAATAGTTACATGAATAGGATCATTGTTTAATTTCTGAGCTATTTTGGGGGAGTTGCATAAGCTGCCTTTCTTTCGGGGACCCACTTGACCTCCGTGGGAAGTCCTTGTGGATAAATGATTTACAGGGCATCCTTCTCATCAGACCTACATGGGCTTCTTTTATCCTTTTCAACCTTGGACTGAAAGAGAAACAGCCTCAAATGGTGCGCTGTCTCTTTAAGGTTATTCTGGGGACCACTCTCTTTGATACCCCAAGGGTTTTTTCTAGCTTTGGAGGCGAATGTCAATTCATGAGGTACTACATTGAGCAAAGAAATGAATTACAGCTTCCTGCAAAGACATAAACTGCACAGTGTTTTTTTTTAATTTACTTTTTAAAATAAATGCCAAGAGTAGATCTTGTCTATATATCTATATATTTATATAAACATGATTTCCATACTCAAGCCCTATCTTCCCCTGTAGTCATTAAGTCTACTGGAGTGGGGAACAATGGGCTATTGGGTGGAATATAAAGCTTTAAAAACTAAATTTTCCAGATATTTCTAGCTAAGTTGGTAGCTTTTTTTTTTATCTTAATAGTATTTTAAAGTATAAACCTGGTAATGTAGTATTCTTGTAGTTTTTTATATTATTATTATTATTATTTCAGGTAAATTACCCCAAACCTCATCCATCCTCAAGGTTTTTAAATTTTATTTTTTTTAAATTAATGGGCATTGTATTTGTGACTTTAAAAATGTTAATGTTTTATTTAAATGCCATATGCTGAGCAATTATTCTCTGTACATGGTAACCAAAACTTAAAGAGATTTCGATCAATTTTGATCAATTTTAGTGATCCAAAACATGTACTGTGTACAAATGAAATAATATGGCCTATTAGCCAGGTGTGATGGTGGCCCAAGGCATTTACATTAAGTTCAATTCTGGATTTTTATTAGGGCTCCATCATATCCCTCATCTGAAATGTACACATTTTTTGGTGTATGCTTGGTACTGGAGATTTATATATCAATATTCTCATACAAGAAGGCTCTGCAGAAATAGGGAGAAAACTGTTGAGCCAAGAAAATGTTTGGGGGTAATCCCAGTGGCTCGGGAGGCTGAGGCAGGAGGATCATGAGTTCAAAGCCAGCCTCAGTGACTTAGTGAGGCCCTAAGCAACTCAGTGAGACCTTGTCTCTAAATCAAATATAAAAAAGGGCTGGGATGTGGCTCCGTGGTCGAGCACCATCTCTGGGCCACTTTGTAAGACACCCTTCAGTAACTCCCACTTGACCCGGCGCAGAGCCTTCCTGGAATGTTTGAGGACCAAGAAAAGATGGGTTTTGCAAGAAAAGAATCTGGAGCTGCAGGATGGCAGAATGTGAGTGAGCAGAGAGAAATCTGAAGAATTCAGGAAGGCAGGCTCAAGGTGGAAGGGAGAGACAGAGGGGGCAGGAGGGAGAGGAGGACCATCAGAGGGTGCGGGAGAGGTTTGGGTTAGGTAGGAAACACATTTTTAGGGGTATGCTCTTTCCAGCTGGGGGTCGCAAACTCAGCAGCCTGCGGGAACAAGGGAGGGAAGTAAATAAGGAAGGGGTAGGGACTGTGCCTACTGAGAAGGGGGCAGCGTGGCTCAGCTCTGTGCTGGAAAAGGGAGGGAGAAATCGGGAGGGTTTTTTTTTTTTTTTAATTTTTAATGCTATTTTTTTTTTAAAAAAACTTCATGATTATTTAAATCAATGTTTTTAAATGTCCAAAACATTTAGTTGAGCCCGAGGGCCACCAGTTTGCGACCCTTGTCTTAACACAGTCACTCCCCCAAGTATGTATAAGTTCCTACTCTTTGTCGTGGACGTGGTGGTATTATATATAGTTGGGGGTCCCATATTTCAGTTCTTCTCTATCTCTCAGAGTTAAGCTTTATTGTAAAAAAAAAAAATTAACGTGGCCACAGATAACACTTAACTTTCAGTTTCCTGAAGGAACTTTGAAGTAAAGCCTTTTTTTTTTTTTTTTTTTTAACTAGAGCCTCTGTCAAACCACTTGGCATTTTTTCCTGAGGACTTGTGGTAAACCTCTTTTGCCCCTGGAGTTTACAGATGAGTCATCAGAAGGATTGCAGAAGAACTTGTTTTCTTGTATCTGGTTGTTGGATTAAAATTATTCTTAATGTTTTTGTTCGTGGGATCCTAGCCTGTCCCTTTAGAGTCCTGGTCGGTGACCATGAACAGTGCTGGGTCTCAGGGCCAGACGTCTTAGGCTGGTGCCATTCCCACTGTGGAGGATGCTGTTCCGGTCAGTCTTGACTCCTGAATGCCTCTGTCCCTTTCCGACTCCAGGGCTCCCACCCAAGTTAACATTTTTGCACTTGGAGGGGATGAGCATGCTTCCAAAGCATCTCCTGCCACCTCTCAGAAGAGGCTCTTGGGTAACATATGACTTTGACCGTGATGAAAATGCTTCCTCCTCTCTAGCCACTTGGATAACAATTGTCTCCGGTGGTGGAGCGAATGGACCTCATCCACATTCCCAGTGTCCCCTCAGGAGGGAACCAAGTTCAATGTTATCATCGTGGTGTTAGTTTTTTTTTTTTTTTTTTTTTAATCACTTGTCTGTGACTTAGACATGTCTGTTTATAATTTTATATCTGCATAGCAAATGAGTGGGTGGGAAATGCAAATATAGGTTGGGAGAGGGTAGAGATGATGCCATCATATTACAGAGAAAAGAGACTCAAATGTGCAGCTAAATTATATATATATAATCTGTTTTTTTGAAGATCCAGGTATTCAGGAATATTTTAGCACCTTTTGTTTTAATTAAAAAGAAAAGTGCCTTGATTCAGTCACCTGACTTAAAACATTCCTCTGTTCTGTGGTTAAATACGTGTCTTCTGATGCCAAACTGTGTTATGATGCGGTCTTGGGGCTGCAGAAGTTGTGTTCCAATAACAGAGACCAAAGAGTTAACCAGATCTCTCTCTCGGCTGCTATTGCTGTGTGATTAGAAAGCATTTTAATCACGCCAAATTTCCATGGCCCGGATGGCTTGCGCCTGGCCTGTATTTGTCTTTTGAGTTCAAGTTGGAGTAAGTTCGCGCTTTGCATCATCCAGGTCATTCGAGGACCTTGTTCTTTTCCGTCTTGCTGTGTTAATAAAGGAATTTGTAGAAACCTCTAGACGGCGTGTCACCTTCGGGGCGGGCTTTCATCCTCCTGGCTCACGGTTCTTGGCAGAAGCCTCAGCGACCTTTATGAAAAGCTTTTCCACGAAAGGAAGTTGGGGAGAATTATTTGTACACAATAGGCTCCGTGTGCAGGTGGGGAAAGACAGAGCCCAGCAGGGGTGCTACCTGGGATTCTCTCTTCAAGTCTTGAGTTTGTTTTTTTTTTTTTTTCCATTTTTTTGTAGGAGGGATTGAACCCACGGGTGTCTAACCACTGGGCCACACGGCCAGCCCTCTCCCTCCAGGTCTTTCCCTACCTAGAACTCTCTGCCCTTTCCCCCTCCTTCTCCCTTACCCCCCACCCACTAACCTCACCCACGATTCAAGTCTTAGCCTGTGGCTAATTCAGAGCTCAAGAATTTGGTCCAGAAATCTCTCGGGCCCTGGGGCGTTCTCCAAATGGTAAACATGGGCCCATAGGAAAGAAAGAAAAAAAAAAATCACCAGGTTTAGCCCGAGATGGAATCTCGGAGCCTCTGTGGACAGTTCAGGGCCTCAGAGGGAAACCTGTCACCGCAGGCTGAGTAGCAGGTAGGGGGAACTCGGTGGGTGTGCTTTGTAATACTGTCCCAGGGTGTTGAGGACACACACACACACACACACACACACACACACACACACACACACGCCTACACAGACCAGCCTCTCGCAAGTCTTTAAAGGAGTCATTTTTGTACAGTGTGTGTGTGGAGGGGGTGCCGGGCAGGGGACAGTCGTGGAAATAGAAGGGAGGCACTGTTTCTGGTGGGGGTTCTGGGGTCAGACCCTCTAAGTCGAGGTCCAAGGATGGACAGGCATGGACCAAGCAGAGCGAGCTGGGCTGGAGAAGAGGTCAAACGCCCAGGTGCTTTCTAGTTCACCTGGCGGTGGGGGGTGGGGGAGGGGTGGAGAAGGATTCATGAGCAAAGGACAGGATGGGAAGGCAGGACGGGGGGAGAAGGGACCAGGACATGGGGGTCTGGACACCGAGCTGCTCAGGCTGCAGTGTGAATCCAAGAGTTCAAGTCCGATTTAGCAGGTCTGGGCTGGATCTGGGCTCTACCTTCCTAGCAAGCTCCCAGGTGATGGGGACCCCACTGGTCCAGGGTCCTCACACACCTCCAGGGCTGCAGACCACAGTCAGATCCTGGGGGCGCTGCAGAGTCCCTTTAGGCCAGGAAGGTCACATTGGAGCCAGTTTCCCTCTGGCTGGTCATGGAAGATGAATGAAGCAGGAGCCAGCAAGCTGAGGCCTACGTATTTGCGGGTGTCAATAAGGTCTGATGGGCACATAGCCACGCCCCTTTATCAGTCTGCTCCTTGGGCCTGCTCTTACACCACACCCAGAGAGTTGGGTAATTGCCACGGAGATCAAATGGCCTGAAAAGCGGAAAACATTTACTCTCTGGCCCTTTATAGAAAAAGTGGCCAGTCCCGGGAGCAAGGCTGGAAGCAATCAGATGCTGCCTGGTTCAAGCCTGGGCAGAGGGGCCAGAGGTGGGGGAGAGATGTTATTCCAGAGGCATGCCACAAAGACCTGACTTCCAATCTTGCATCCTATGCTTCCTGTCCGTAAGGAACTATCTCAGCCAGTTCCCAAATTCTCTTTAAACCTCAGTTGATCTGTCTGTAAAATAGGCTTAATGATGGAACCTTGCTCATAGGAGTCATTGAGGATGACGGGAGATTTTTGCAGCCACATCGATAGGGACCTAGTTCGACTCAATATAGAAGTAGTTACTTGGGCCTGGGAGTGTAGCTGTAGCCGTGGAGGGCTTGTCTGGCGTGCGTGAGGCCCTGGGTTCCATCCCCAGCTTTGCAAGGGCTTTACTCCGTGTTTCACCACGGATGACTGGTTACAGGAATCATCGAATTCTCCCTCTACCCAAGTGACTCTGCAATCTCTCCCATCAGGATTTCTCAGTACGATGTGGCTGAAGGGACCTGAGGATTGACCAATGGAAATACTTGAGCAAGCCCAGCCAAGATCAAGCCAAGCCTGACCCAGACCAGCAGAACCACCCATCTGCCCACAGATGGAGCAATCATGGATATTTTCTGTTTTAAGCCATGGAATTAGGAGTTGTTGGTTGCTTGGCAAAAACTGGCTTGAATGTGCATTGGTCTGAGTGTGTCCTCCAAATTCATCCCAAGGCAACAGTGTTGTGTGACGGTAACTTTAAATTGTGGGCAGGTCAGGAGCACTCTGCCTTCGTGGACGGATTAGTGGTGCTATGGAGGCAGGACCTAGTTATCACAGAAGTGGGGTTCTGATGAAAGGATGGGTTCAGCCCCCTCCCCGCTCTCTCTCTTGCTTGTTCTTTAGCCCTTCTGCCTTTGACCTTGGGGTAATGCAGCAAGAAGGCCCTTGGCAGATGTGGATCCCTTAACCTTGAACTTTCCAGCCTCCAGAACTGTAAGAAATAAATCCCCAGTTTCTCAGATAAATTCCTCTGCTGACGGTGTGCTCAGCTGCAAAAGGAAAAAAAAAACCTATGAGGGTGTATTAGACAGGTTTCTATTGCTGTCACAAAATACCTGAGGAAAATCAACTTAAAAGGAGGAAGGATTATTTTGGCTCCTGGTTTTAGTCTGTGGTCACTTGGCCGAGTTTCTTTGGGCCTGTGGTGGGACAGGACCTCATGGCAGGAGCACGTGATGGAGGAGGACCGTTCACCTAGTGGTATCCAGAAAGCAGGTGGGGGGAGAGGAGCCAGGGTCCCAGTACCCCTAAAGGGATGCCCTCGTGTCCTGATTTCCTTCCACTAGGCCTTGCCTCCTGAAGGGTCTTACCACCTCCCAGTAGCCCCAGAGACTGACGACCAAGCCTTTTTCCAAAGAAGTGAGGACTGATTACGGAACTTCTCACTTGCCTAAGTCCTAGGTACAGTAAGTGTTCTATGTTAGGAGTGAAGCCTCCGGTGGATCCTCACTGGGTGTATTATTTTAATCAATTCATATATCTGAACATCAATCCCCTCATTTGTAAAATGGGAGGGATAATCCCTCCTTCACTGGGAGGGTTCAAGAGTAACGCATAGAGAAAACATCACTGCTAAGCATGGGGAGGCTTCTTTTATGATATTTAATTTATTTATTTACTCTAATTTGTTATACATGACAGCAGAAAGCATTTCAATTCATAGTGCACATACAGAGCACAATTTTTCATGGCTCTGGTTGTTCACAAAGTAGAGTCACACCATTGGTGTCTTCATACATGGACTTAGCGTAATGATATCCATCTCATTCCACCATGTTTCCTACTCCCATGCCCCCTGCCTTCACCTCCCTCCCCCTTTGCTCTATTTAAATTTTCTCCATTCCTCCCATGCTCCTCTCCATCCCCATTATGGATCAGCACCCACATATCAGAGAAAATATTTGGCATTTGTTTTTTGGGGGTTGGCTAACTTCACTTAGCATTATCTTCTCCAACTCCATCCATTTACCTGCAAATGCATGATTTTATTCTCTTTTAATGCTGAGTAATATTCCATTGTGTATATATGTACCACAGTTTCTTTATCCATTTACCTACTGAAGGTTATCTAGGTTGGTTCCACAGTTTAGCTATTGTGAATTGTGCTGCTATAAACATTGATGTGGCTGTGTCCCTGTAGTATGCTGTTTTTTAGTCCTTTGGGTATAAATTGAGGAGTGAGATAGCTGGGTCAAAAGGTGGTTCCATTCCAAGTTTTCCAAGGAATCTCCATACTGCTTTCCAGAGTGGCTGCACCAATCTGCAGCCCCACTAGCAATGCATGAGTGTGCCTTTCCCCCCACATCCTGGCCAACACTTATGGTTATTTGTATTCTTAACAGCTGCCATTCTGACTGGGGTGAGATGAAATCTTAGAATGATTTTGATTTGCATTTCTCCAATTGATAGAGATGTTGACATTTTTTTTCATATTTGTCGATTGATTGTATATTATCTTCTGAGAAGTGTCTGTTCAGTTCCTTGACCCATTTATTGATTGGGTTATTTGGTTTTTTTTGGGGGGGAGTTAGATTTTTTTAGTTCTTTACATATTCTAGAGATTAGTGCTCTATCTGATGGTAAAAAAATTTTCTCCTATTCTATAGGCTCTCTGTTTACCTCATTGGTTGTTTCTTTTGCTGAGAAGAAGCTTTTTAGTTTGAATCCATCCTATTTTTATTGATTCTTGATTTTATTTCTTGTGCTATAGGAGTCTTATTAAGGAAGTCGGGGCCAAGTCGGGGCCTAATCCTGCACAAAGCAAGATTTGGGCCCATTTTTTCTCCTAATAGGTGCATGGTCTCTGGTTTAATTCCTGGGTCCTTGATCCACTTTGCGTTGAGTTTTAGCACATGGAGGCTTTGATTCCACTAGCCAGGTCTCATTTCTCCGATGCCAGGAAGCTTATATACCATTAAGAATAGAATCATCAAGGTCCTTATCAAACTTCTTCACAAAGAAGAGCCTCTACATCCAGAGGGACCCTGCCCTCCTTCTTTAGGTCTTCCAGCCTGGAAAGAGCATCCATCAGAGGCTGTGTCTGTCAGCTTTCCCTCACTGTGACAAAGTACCTGAGATAATCAGCTTGTGAGGAGGAAAGGTTTCTTTGGGCTCATGATTGTAGAAACTTCAGGCCATCATCAGATGGCTCTGTTGCTTTGGGGCCTGTGGCGGGGCAGCATGTCATGGTGGAGAGGATGCGGTAGAGGAACGCAGTTCACCTCATGGCGGCAGGAAGTGAAGACAGAGGAAGAGGCGGAGTCAGGACCCCAGTGTCCCCTTCAAGTGACCTAATTTCCTTCCAGGAAGCCCCACTTCCTACAGGTTCCACCATCTCCCCAGGGCACCCCAGATTGGGGACAAAACCTTCAACGCAAAAGAGCTTTGAAGGACATTCACGACCTACAGCAGAAACGGCCTGTCTTCCCCCAATTCCAGCTCTTTCCGTGAGGATTCAAAGGTTTTGTCCCAGTGTCCCTCCCCCACTCACC